TTTTAAGAATTAAAAAATCAATCATTTAATAAATTTAATTATCAATTCATTACAAAATTGTAACCTTCAGTTATCTATAATAATCCCTACAGGAATAAGGCAGACTCTTCAAACTACTCATACACTTAAAACTTGCACACATTGGCTGGACTTGAAGAAAATGTATTTTTAGGGTTAATAGTAATTTTTGCCATTTATTTTTCATTAATAGAAGTTTAGCAGTTTTGCTTTTTTCTCAATAGAAGAAGAAACCTGTTCACTCTAATAAGGGATAAGAACATAGCTGCCCTTACACATGGTTGTGGCCTTTGTCAGAAAAGGGGACATGAATTGTCAGGATGCCCCAAAGGTTTCTTCTTTGTAACATTCTGAAGAGGGAAGATAATGAAAACAAAACCAAATATCCCAAACTAATGCACCTTTAAAAGTGTGTTTAACTTAAATCAGGAATAAAATATTTCTATGCAAACCCAATAATTTTAGGGTTATTACTTGGCAATAAAAATAACTAGTACAAGGTAACAGTAAGATTGTCCTGAGTGTCTTAATGGTGTATTTCCATGAATTAGTAAATTTTGGTAAAAAAGTTCCTCTAATCGTGGTCAGTCACCAAGGGCAGCTGCTCCGGACCCGGCCCAATCTGCAGCAGAGCGGCAGATCTCAGCGCACAGGGGGGTTTCCTGAGGCAGGGGGAGTGGAAAGACCCGCCAGGAGCCAACAGCTCTCCCGAGAAACGCCGACAAGGCCTGGGCATTGCCAGAGCAACCGTGGCCACCCCACACCTATCAAAAGCAGCCTGGGGAGCACTAGTGACCACAGCGTGGCGTGGCAGTTTGCACAGCAAGGTATCATCCCCCTATCAGCTCAAGAGGTGAGTTCAGCTGGTGGTCATCACCCTCTCAGAAGGAGCTTAGCTATGGTATCCACCCGGCAGAAATCCATGTCCTCTGCACTCGCCAGAATGGATGTGGCAACCCAGAGCGAGCTCCCACAGAAACATGCGGCCAGCCAGGACTCAGCGGGGCGTGCCAGAGCCTTTCACTGGTAACAGATGGCAGCAGCAAGAACAGCTGTGTGAGGGGTGACCAGGTGGATGATCAGCTCAGCCTGGCGGCATTGCTACGAGAGGAAGCAGAAAGGTTAAGAAGCATCAGGGAGTCTGAGAAAGACATAGACTGGTGGAAACATGCTCCGCCCTCCCTGAGACAGAAACAGGAACAGCCACCAGAAAAAACCCAAGATCAAGGGAATCCTGTATCCTCCTCCCCCCACCAGGCTGAAGGCAGTAGTTTGAAGGAAAGGAGTGAATGCAGGCAAGTCCACGCTCAGGGTTGCAGGCAAACCCCCTCCTTGCCCACCTTCCCAGGTGTACAACAGGTATGAGGCTCTGGACACAGAAGGCCAGTCAAAGGATGATGTGGATAACAGTCCATCTACACCAGAGGTGTTGCCAAGGTCAGAAAGCCTACCCCATGTATCATGACTACCTCCACAAGGCAGAAAAGACAGGTTATAGTTGTAGGTGACTCCCTTCTGAGGGGAACAGAGGGTCCAATATGCTGGACAGACCCTCCTCTTAGGGAAGTCTGCTGCCTCCCTGAGGCCCAGATTAAGGACATCACAAGGAAACTTCCTAGACTGTTCCGGCCCTCGGACTATTACCCATTAGTGCTCTTCCATGTGAGTGGTGACGAAGCCACAGCACGTAGTCCAAGGGCAATCAAAAGAGACTTCAGAGTCTTGGGACAGTTGGTAAGGGAATCTGGAGCACAGGTAATTTTTTCCTTTATCCTTCCAGTTGCAGACAGCAACACTGGAAGAAACAGACAGAACCAGTCTATTGACACATGGCTCCATGGCTAGTGTCACCAGCCATTGGGTTTTTTGACAATGCGATGGCCTACATGGCACCAAGCCTGCTGGCGTCAGATGGGATTCACCTTTCTCAAAGGGCAAGAGCACCTTTGCTCGCAAGCTAGTGGGGCTCATTGACAGGGCTTTAAATTAGACTTGACGAGGGAGGGGGATAATATCAGGCTTGCCCATGACAAGCTGTGGGACGACACACTAGAGGGATGGGGTGCTAGTGATGGCCCTCAGCCTGTTGCTCTGAGACGTGCTGGATACACTGTAGCACACAAAGTCTTATGGAGATGAGCCAGGGGCTCCTGAGGTAATAGGGGCCAACAGAGAAACACTGGTGAAATGCCTCAAAGGAATTAAGCTGTGTTCCTCTAAGAAGGTGACAGAGCTGACAGCCCAGCTGAAGTGCCTCTACACCAACGCACACAGCATGGAGGAGCTGGAAGCCACTGTGCTGCTAGAAAGGTATGACCTAGTTGCCACTACTGAAACTTGGTGGGACGAATCCCATAACTGGAGTGCGGCTATTGATGGCTACAGGCTGTTCAGAAGGGACAGGCAAGAAAGGAGGGGCAATGATGATTTCTACATCAAGAAATGGATAGAGTGTGAAGAGCTGTCTCTGAAGAATAGCCACAAGCAGGTTGAAAGCTTATGGATTGGTTAGATGGTCGCATCCAGAGGGTAGCTGTCAACGGCTCGATGTCCAGATGGAGATCAGTGACAAGTGGTGTCCCTCAGAAGTCCATACTGGGACCAGTACTGTTTAATATTTTCATCAATGACATAGACAGTGGGATCAAGTGCACCCTCAGCAAGTTTGCAGATGACACCCAGCTGAGTGGTGCAGTTCACATGCCTGAGGGATGGGATGCCATCCAGAAGGACCTGGACAAGCTTGAGAAGTGAGCCCATGTGAACCTCATGAGGTTCAACAAGACAAAGTGCAAGGTCCTGCACCTGGGATGGGGCAACCCCCAGTATCAATACAGGCTGGGGGATGAAGGGATTGAGAGCAGCCCTGCAGAGAAGGACTTGGGGGTACTGGTGGATGAAAAGCTGGACATGAGCCGGCAATGTGCACTCGCAGCCCAGAAGGCCAACCGTATCCTGGGCTGCATCAAAAGAAGCGTGGCCAGCAGGTCGAGGGAGGTGATTCTGCCCCTCTACTCTGCTCTGGTGAGACCCCACCTGCAGTACTGCGTCCAGCTCTGGAGCCCTCAGTACAGGAAAGACATGGACCTGTTGGAGTAGGTCCGAAAGAGAGCCACAAAAATGATCCGAGGGCTGGAACACCTCTCCTATGAGGCCAGGCTGAGAGAGTTGGGGTTGTTCAGCCTGGAGAAGGAGTGACCTTTCAGTACTTAAAGGGGGCTTATAAGAAACATGAGGACAGACTTTTTAGCAGGGCTTCTTGTGATAAGACAAGGGGTAATGGTTTTAAACTAAAAGAGGGTAGATTTAGACTAGATATAAGGAAGAAAATTTACAATGAGGGTGGTGAAACACTGGAACATGTTGCCCAGAGAAGTTGTAGATGCCCCATCCCTGGCAACATTCAAGGTCAGGCTGAACGGGGCTCTGAGCAACCTGATCTAGTTGAAGATGTCCCTGCTCATTGCAGGGGGGTTGGACTAGATGACCTTTAAAGGTCCCTTCCAACCCAAACTATTCTATGACTCTGTGAGGTGACTTAAGAATTTGAGAGGGGCAAGGTCTCCAGGAAACACAGCATCTTTTTTCAGACAAGGTGTCAGGCAAATAAGTCCTCCTTCAGTTTTGCTATTTGTGCTGTATAATTCAAGAAGGCCTTATTTGACCTCCACCCCCTCTCCCCAACTTTTACCAAGTATCCTAATAAAAGACATCCTCTGCCTATAAACCCTGTATCATTTAACAGATAGGCTTTCTTTTAAAGGTAATCTTAAGTCATAAAATTTATAATGCTTGTTTTTTCAAGACATGTAATAATTTTATTCTTATATTACTAATTTCTTCTTTTCCCATTTCTAATGGAACTTGAGACCCTGTCATAGGCATTTTTAAATTTTTTAGCTTACATTAATAACTGAAGTTAACAATGACAGGAAAAATTCAAAGATAAAAACATACAATACTTTTTATGTAACAGAAATTATATCAACCTCCATTAAATAAATTGTAGGCTATTAAAAGGAAAGCAAGCTCTAGCCTCATTCATAGTGAGACCAGGAGGAAATTGCAGCTATCATTTATTCCTTTGAGTAGTATCCCAGATAAAATCTATCAGCAACTTCCTTAAAAAAAGCTTTGTGAGTCTTGGAATGCCCAGGTTCTTAAATCACTAATAAGAACAAACCTTTTGAGGTGAGTCTAAACTGCACAGTCTGGAACTCAACCCCAGGTCTGACATTTTCCGAAGTCTGAATGCACAGCACTGTTTTGTGGCATCATGTCCTACTATGATTCCTATTTAGTCATTGTTCCACATTTTCCTTTTTTCTTTCTTTTTTTTTTTATTCCTTTACATTTTTTTCTGACTGTGCATTTGCTCAGCTTTTCTAAAGGTGTTAGTAGTCCAAGGATATTTTTTTTCAATACAGAAAAACAGATACAACCTCTAAAGATATACACTACCACAGAGAACTAAATAAGAAATTAAGATATTAAGCATGTATATTCATTTTTCTTTTCTACCGCACCATATACTGGGATTTATTTAAATAAACCACATCCAGGGTTGAGGCCAAGAGAACTTTCTAAACAGTTGGTTTTGCATCTGCTGTAAAATCAATGCCAAGGACTATGAAAAAGATACAACTAACAGTCTTCAGGTTATTGTCAGAAGTGCTCTTCTGATGTATGTTATTGATCCATTTTAAAAAAATAATGCCCCAAAATACTTCTGATTTCCACATGGCTTCTTGCAGAAATCTTAGAATCTGCTTCCAGGTATAAAATTTGATAGATCAAAAATATATGCTGTGGCCAGAGTGAGCAAAGGTAAACAAAATCAATGGCAACTGAGACTCCAAATGTCAATATACGCAAATATTATGCAAAGTTCCTATTCCGTACCAATAGCTGCCTTTAGTTTTTAGGTTTCCCTGAATGGATTCAGTGCTTCAGTGGAACATTGCAAGGTTTAAGAAACTTACTGCAATGGACCTCATCACTCCAATCATCACAGTCATTGTAGCCATTACACTGCAGTTTCCCTGGGATGCAGATTCCACTGGCACACAAGAAACTCTCCTCTCCTCTGCACAGCGCTGGAAAAGAGAAGAGAAGAAAAGAAAGAATGCATATTGAACTTTTCAGGGTAAGAAGAAATAAGCAGAAATGAAATATAGTTAGAACAATGAGTCTTAACTGATGCACTTAAGCAACAAAACCCAAATTAATCAAAATCAAGCAAGTGCAAACTGGCATTTTCATCTAACTTTTGTTATTTCAAAAATAGGTATCTAGGCCGAGTTAATCAGTGAGGTTCAATCTACCATTACTTCTAAAAAGCAGCTGTACAGATTAACTGTTAAAAACTGACCTTAGGATGGGATTAAACAAGCTCTTTTTTTTTCCATTAAATAGATGCATCAGATTAAATATCCAACTATAGCTACAGTAGATGGATCTTCCCAGCCTAGGTGTTCAAGCAAAAGATTACCAGCTTGAGAGTTAACAGTGTCATAGCACAGACACCTTTCTAGAGAGGAAGGATTCCTCAAACATTCTTACAACTCCCTGAACACTAGAACACCATCATCACTGCTATTCGATACATGAGGAATTGAGATACCTGAAGAGACCAAAAAAAAAACTAGAGCTTTAGCTATCCCACTGGAGATACCTTGCAGGGCCATTATGTTTAGAGGGAGGGAACTCATAACACCTTCCCATTCAAGTCCTTCAAGGCACTTAAAATATAGAAATGAAGATCACCATTAAATTGTTTACACCTTAGTCCATGCAATAGAGACCAAACTTCCAAGCCTTTGTTTTAAAAATAATTGGCTGAGAAAAATCCCTGTACAGCATATAGATGGGGAAAGATATCAAGTGAAAATTACACAAGGATGCAACATAAAGATGTCAAGTAGAAAAGCAAGTATTCAGTACAGAACCTGGTGGTTGGGTTTTTTGTTTGGTTTTTTTTTTTTTTTCCAAAAGCCACAGTTAACAGTCAGGCTACTCAACAAAGCTAAACAAAATAGAAAGTCTCACCTCCAGTAAAAGATCAGCAAAAAAAACCCAATAACTTTACTTTAAGCATACATATCTGAAATGCGAATTTGCTTTCAGAGATGGAGGAAAAAGATCCCATCACTTTGCCAGTGTAAATATATCCATGTGTGAGAACAGCAAGTTCAAACAATAAAATATCATGAAAGTTCAAAATTCTACTCATAGAAATTCCATTGTAATTCAAGCTTTGTATCCAAGTTTGCCAAGAACAATAAAGATCTCTAATTATAGCTTTCAAACTTTACAACAATGCAAATCACAGGTATAAAAACCCATCAGTTTCAGCAGCAGCTATAGAATCTCTTCCTCCACTAGTCATTTGACACCCGATCACAACATAGGTCCATATTTCTCAATTTAAAATGCCTAAATATGCTTTTTTTCTTATCCCTACGGGAGAGTTCAGTTGCCTTTCTTCTCCCTTTATTCCCTGAACCTGATGCTTAACAAAGTCTGGAAAGTGTATTTATAATCTACATCTCAAAAGCAAAAAAATGCATATTGAGTATTCTCATCATAATTTTGTATTCCTAATAACATGTCTACCAACAAGTATATTCATGCAGAACACAGTTTAAATTAAGGAAAAATAACCAAATATCTAATGATATAATTTTTAGTAGCATGAGCTTTTATGACCCCAGTTTGGCACTGAAGTAAATAGTAGTACAAAGGTAACACACTAAACAAATTTCAGATGAAGCCATTAATAAATCAATTACTATGATGATGTTTGTGTCAACATTTTATTTGGTGCTGCACTCAGTAGCATTCCTAGTGTAAGGAATTATCCTTAACAGTGAAGTATTAACCACAATAATGTGGTGATTAAGCACATTCTAGGGCAAACAAAACCTGACCTTAAGTGAAAGATCAGTCCTAAACTCACACACTCCTAATGTCCCATTTAAACTCCTCTTTTTGGAGCCAACATGTCACTTACAAAAAGGGGGGAAAGTGCTTTTTAATGTCTTCCAACAAAGCAGTCTGTTGTGAAGTAAGTCAGAGCATACAAGTAATCTCATTTTATATGTCTTCAGAAGAATTGGAATATAAAAATGAAACAAAATGGAAAGCAAAGTGGTGCTGATGAAATCTGACAAGTTTCACAAAGCATGCAGATAAAATTTAAGGATATAAAAGATTAAAAGTAGAAAGAGATGAGAAACATGAATTAATAAATATTGACTCTCCATGCTGCTACATCAATTTTTATCTGCTTTACTTGGATCTTAAGCCATACTGTTTCATAGAATTTCAGGAATTCATTATTTAATGATGTATCTTTTGATTTTAATAAGTGTATCATAAAAGAAAACTTGATGGAAACTTTTTTCTTAAAATATCAAACATGTGGCTTTTATCTTATAGTGCTTTAGACTGCAGGGTAGCAAGTGTTATGCCTCTTTTTTTCCATATGTGAAAAGCTGAAGGTTAGGAGGCCCAAGTGATTTGTCCAATGACAAACAAGGAATCAGGTGAACAATTCAAAGTGGTTTATAGAATTGTAGTCCTAAAAATCTAAACTTAAGTCAAGAAAAAAAAAAAAAGGTTATCTCCCTGTTCTGACAAAGTAAGCCTCTTACTTCTTGAAGCATGACGGTCTTCACAATGGTACCTTATCAGGAATTTTGGCTGTTGTTGGGAGATCAGTGTCCTTCAGCCCTGCTGTTGCCTTCAATTTGGCAAGGGACAGTTTGTCAGTCTTTGCGCTACTCTAATACCTTTCTCTCTTCTCCCTCTCTGGAAGCATTTCCAATGATGACCAGGACCCTTTCTAGACCTAGGCCAAGATCCCCATGGTTTTGTACTATACCGCAGTATAGTATACTATATCCTTAATCTGCAGCTACCAGATACAACCTACAGCCTAGAATAGAGCTTTTTGCCATTCTTTTGCATTCCTGAATCCACCAGGACAACCTGCCCATAGTGACTGTCCGAGCCATGAGTGCACCAATAGGCCTTGAATGGCCTTGAATGACTCTGACCAGCCTCACCTGGGGCCTCCCCCCACACGCTGCCCATGGGCTCAAGCTGAGCTCAGGGCTGGGACTTCAGTCCCCACCACTGCTGTAGGCACAGCCTTATAGAATCACAGAATCGTTTAGGTTGGAAAAGACCTTTAAGATCATCCAGTCCAACCATTAACCTATCATTACCAAGTCCACACTAAACCAAGTAAGGGTAGAGTAATAATTTCATGTTTCCTGGCTTGGTGGCTGGATTATTTTATAATGAAAGTAAAAATGAGGAATCATTAAGGTTGGAAAGGACCTCTAAGATCATCAGTCCAACCATCAACCCAACACCACCATGCCCACTAAACCATGTCCCAAAGTGCCACATCTACATGTTTTTTGAACGCCTCAGGGCTGGTGACTCCACCACCTCTCTGGGCAGCCTGTTCCAATGCTTGACTACTCTTTCTGTGAAGAAATTTTTCATAATATCCAATCTAAACCTCCCCTGATGCAGCTTGACGCCATTTGCTCTCGTCCTATCGCTAGTGACTATATCCAGCTCCATCTCCTGGATGGATTCCTCATATATACATTGTAGCTGGTCTGCAGCCCTAACTTTGGCCCTGGTTCCTAGGTGGGCTTGGAGCCACATTGGAGCCTTGTCACCAGTCTTGCCTCTGGTCCCGCCTCCTGACTGGGCTCTCTGATTGGACCCTGGACCTGGTTTGTCACTTTGCCATGCCTGGGGCCAGCTCTGCCTGCTGCATTCAGGCTCTGCATCCCAGCACAGCCTGACCTCAGCTACCAGCTTGCCTGCTTGGAGAGAGCAGCCCTGCTCTTCCTACTCCCTGATGGTGACCTCAGGTCATAGAATCCTAGAATGCTTTGGGGTGGAAGGGACCTTTAGAGGTCATCTAGCCCAACCCCCCTGCAGTGAGCAGGGACAGCTTCAACCAGATCAGGTTGCTCAGAGCCCCACCCAACCTGACCTTGAATGTTGCCACGGATGGGGCCACTACCACCTCTCTGGGCAACCTGTTCCAGTGTTTCACCACCCTCATTGTAAAAAACTTCTTTCTAAAGTCTAGTCTAAATCTATTCTTCTTTAGTTTAAATCCATTATTCCTTGTCCTGTCACAACAGGCCTTATTAAAAAGATTCTCCTCATCTTTCCTGTAGGCCCCCTTTAAGTATTGGAATGCTGCAATAAGGTCTCCTCGCAGCCTTCTCTTCTCCAGGCTGAACAATCCCAACTCTCTCAGCCTGGCCTCATAGGAGAGGTGTTCCAGCCCTCAGATCATTTTTGTGGCCCTCCTCTGGACCCGCTCCAACAGGTCCATGTCTTTCCTGTACTGAGGGCCCCAGAGCTGGACGCAGTACTCCAATGGGGTCTCACCAGAGCAGAGTAGAGGGGCAGAATCACCTCCCTCGACCTGCTGGCCACGCTTCTTTTGATGCAGCCCAGGATATGGTTGGCCTTCTGGGCTGCAAGCGCACATTGCTGGCTCCTGTCCAGCTTTTCATCCACCAGTACCCCCAAGTCCTTCTCTGCAGGGCTGCTCTCAATCCTTTCATTCCCCAGCATGTACTGATACTGGGGGTTGCCCTGTCCCAGGTGCAGGACCTTGCACTTGGCCTTGTTGAACCTCATGAGGTTCACACAGGCCCACCTCTCCAGCTTGTCCAGGTCCCTCTGGATGACATCTCATCCTCCTGGTGTGTCAACCGCACCACTCGTTGGGTTACAGCAGGCTGATTGCTCAGCCTGGCTCCTCGTGGTGGCTTATTTCCGTTAGACTGATGCTACTGGCACTCAAAGACATAACTCAAGTTCCAACAGCTGTTTGATGCCTCTGGCCAGCTATATTAGAAAAGTAATGTGATACTGACAGGCAGGTATTCCTTGTCCTCAGTTCTCCATCATTCTTTCAATTATCCCAGATGCCACCTCTGTCTTTCCATGAATTCATAGTACACATGGAAGACATCTTTCACCACGAAAGTAGTGTGCCCACTGTCCCTGCACAGTGTATAAGGTATGCCGCCATTTGCAAAGTGAGCAT